GCAGTTCGCGTTGCGAATGTTTCACAAGAATGCTGGGTTGTGAACAAAACTTTCGCCCCAGGCGGGACTAGAACCCGCACCTCTCGCTTTTATTTTAGAAAGTATTTTACTTATATTAGAGGCTATTGATTTTATTTTATTTTAGACATATTTTTTCTGTGTCAAAACCTTTATTAGACCTGAAGGGCCAACACGGTGCTCATCTGATTGATCTAATCTCGCCTTTTAGTGAAGTATATTTAGGGGACCCTGCCTAAATTAAAATTATAATATTTAATAAAACTTTTGATCATCAAACACGCAGTCCTCCAATGTCGACTGTTTGATATCAGAATTGTGTGGAATCAGAAAAACATTGAGACTTACACAGCATGCAAATTTTTGTAGTGGGCAAACCGCATTCAAATACCGTTACGACAATCACCGTTGAAAGTTGGATGCATGGCGCATCCTAATGAGGCCTGATTAAATCCTGATGTTGCGGTTCAAATCTAGAATCAACTTGAGCTGCGACTTGAGGCTTTGGAAAGCAGTTAATATGTCTCTGTTTGCACTTACTTCTCTGAAAGGCCTGAACTGTAACTGCATAGTTCTCGAGCGCCTAAATAGTCGCACTCAGAGAGCGCTCGGGTTTGTACTTTTTCCAAAAGCTGGCTGCGTCCAGAGGAAACTTTGTCCGTTTCACACCTGCAAGTACTCAACCACGAATTATATTAGCATGTTTAAGCAGCGACAATCTTTTTAGGTATCAATTGCATTTCTCAAAGAATAAAGACATTCCGAGCTTCAGTTTTAACGCTTTTCTGATACCAACGGGGCAAGGTTAGGATTTGGGTTGGCGCTGCAGATAGATCCTCTTCCTTAAGAGACCGAAGATGCGAGTTTGACAGAGCATCTGACAGTTCCTTTCCGAGCAGTCGCCTCGATTCCAAGCCGTCTGAAGGGACGCGGGAAAGAACTACCGAGAATTCCGAACGAGGCAAATAATTACGAATTGTCGACCATTAATAATCTTCATGTCAGAAAAGCCGTTAACACAGAAAAGCCTTGTAATTAGCATCGATGCTGAGGTTCTGTAGAAAGTGAACTTGAAATTCTTGTGTCAACATTTCACGTTTTGTACCCAAGGTCTTGTCGTAGTTGGCAGTCATTCATCTGCTAATCGTGATTTTTCCCTTACCAACCATCTTATCGCAACGAACTCTATTGCTCCTAGTGCGATATTTTTATGCTTTCGGAAGGTACATTGTCATGCATTATTTTCAGGAATGGATCGCTCGTAGCGCGAACTCTGAATAGCCCCGCCCCGCCCGGCGCCCCCCCGGCCCCTGACCTCCCTCTCCATTTTCTGTGCCACTGTGGCCAAAACTCCTGTTATATTTTAGTTCAACTCTTGTATAAACTTAGCGTTAATCTAGAAGTGTTAACCCTTTCCGGACCGCGCACTTTTTGCGCTCACGGCCGCATGCTGCGCGGCAAGCATAAATATCATATATTTAATCTGTATTCCCACTAAAGCCATTATTTTGTCTCGTTTATGTCTTTGTCATGTCTCGAAGAATATATAAGATTAATTTGACAGAAAACTGTTTTGCAAAAAAAGGGAAAGGGCCATAAAAAGGGAGGAAGGGACGAAAATTGTTCAAAATAAGTTGGTATGGAGAAAAAGGGAGTAGAACGTGCCCAAAACGATTGGATCCATAAGAATCAGATACGACGAGCAGGATATTTCACAAATTCTTCGTTTTTAAGTGTTTTCAAGCGAACTACAACTGTTTTCTTTGAGCCCAAAGTGGAAGTCCATTTACTCTTTGGTTATTTTAGAACCTAGATTAAACCTAAAGTCTAGGTTTTTTCATACATATGGCATGAGTCTGTTACATAGGTATGTAACAACATAAAATATTTTATCGAAAAACCAAACTCTTGGAAAAATCAGCTCTTGAAGTTCCTGACACACCATGTGTGTCAGGCGGTCCGGAAAGGGTTAAAGAATATTTAAAGGTAAATCATTCTTAGCCGAATATCTATAATTTAGCTTCTGCGAAAGTGTTAAAAAAAAAAAAAAAAAAAAAAAAAAAAAAAAAAAAAAAAAATACCTAAACGTTGCTCAATTCCTTTGTGAGGGCCATGTAATTAGAATTCGTTTACAGGTTGTACTTGGCACTTAAAGGCAGATTCACGATGAAAGTTAGCTCATTGGAAATAAGGGTAGAGGTGGTCAGTGGAGCAGGGATGAAGAAGAAACCATTTGAAACGGCCCAAACCCGAGAAATGGGACCCCTTCCTTGCCCGTTGATTTGCGCATTGATGCGACTCTCATCGCTGTGCCCTCTTCAACACTACGCTCTCTCTGCTATCTAATCACTCGCCACGTATAGACCTGCGGCGAGTGATTAGATAGTCGGTGGGCGTACCCCGCCAACCGCGCCAAGAGAGCCATGCTAGATCGCCGAGGTCAAATCTTTCGCTGCCAATTGCGCGTCGGTCAGCACATCAGTAGGTCCGCCTGTCTCCCAGTATGCAATTTTCTCCTTCACCGACCTTCGTTCTTATAGTGAATTTTTCTTTTAAACGCGATTTGGCCTATACGATGTCCTTCAGGGTCAGCTAATCTACATCACTGTTTTTATCCTCACAAACACGTCTAGTACTAAATCAGAAACACCAGAGAATTGGAGGGCTTGGTTCGCTTGGACTACGTAGGATCCAGGATTTGATCCTCACACCTGCGCGGAGAGTAACGCTTAGTCTCAGTCGGCAACATTTGTCCTGTAGCTTTTTGATGGGCTTTTTCCGCAGAAAACATCATTAACTAAAGACAGCTGCTCATCTACCGATTCTGTCAAAGAATTATTAGGTGGGTATAGCTGAACAAGTCATTGCTGCTTTGTGCCCGTGAAAATGCGCAACGGCTTAAGAAAGCTTTGGAACGCCTTCCAGCCGCTATCTCACGCCCCTATTCCAAACTCCATCCCGTCGCGGCGCAAGCGCTGATCTGCCACAACGCTGGAATTTGCAGCACCAGCATTGGCTGCAGCGCTAGCGTTGAGTGCTCCGCGATCAAAACTTCTCCCAACGCCCACGCCCACCATAGTCACTTCGTCCAGAGCTGGCCAACACGTCGAGCTTTGTTTTACGATTTTCTTGACAGTTATCTTTTCTTTCTCATTCTACTCAAGCAGCTTCATACCCGGAGAAGTGTATTTAAGTAGGATTATCCTATTCAATCGCGAGCTCTGCCTTTGACAGATGGATTTCTCCAACGTGCGGCTCAATGAAACCTTTTTTTTTCAAAATGCGAAATCTGTTATTTGGCTCAGACTGGTGTCTTGAATAATTTCAAAGGGCACGTTGAATTACAATATCCCCTATTCATGAGTGGTACCTTTGTTTCGCGCGGACAGGGTCGTTCTGCGTGCAGAACAAGTGGAAATCTGACGACGACTCCCCAAAAAGTTCGATAATTTTGATAGTCCATAGTGATAGCCTATAGAAGCTATAATTTTATAGCTGTAATCAGAGACAATTAATAGTAAACAACCGCAATCGGCTAATCAAAATCGTTGGCAAAACATACCATATTTTATGGATGTTGTCGTTACTTGTGTTGTTTGTTCTGCACTGCAGACGTACCTGGCTATCGGATACAAACAGCAGGTCAGGACATGTGCATTGCGCTCTTCGCAGCGTGGCCGTAACATACCATCACAGAGACGCCAACCCCTCATACATACTCTTTCCTATCCAAATTTTTTCTAATTATTTATGAAAAATAGAAGTTTCAGTATCATATAAAAAGTTATGACGTCATCAATGTTCAGGTGACCTACGTGCTCAGTGTATGTGTTTGGCAAGCTAGTCCACATCCAAGACAAATCGGTTTTGTCATCATCCTCGTGCCCGTTCTGAATCTTCTCGGATGTGCCTCGGCACTCATTTCGCTATGGTTCATGGTCCAGAAGTTCTACTGGAAGCGAGTGGTACGTTACCACCGGCATTGTTTTCCCTTAATAATTTCAATATGTTCATGTGCCCACTAAACGGCGAGCGAGGAAGTCTGTATGGGAAATGGCATAGTGTTTAGTGGATTTTTTTTCCGCAAATTTCACAGAAATTTGGATTTCCCCACAATTTTTGGAGACTCATCTGTTAAACCCCTTGTCGACACGATTTGAAAAATGTTGAGTTTCCGAGCACAGAGTAACTTGGCAGGTAGGGTTGGGACCAACGGGCACCAGGGACATTTATGGCAGCTAAAGATCGCTATTTTCAAAATTAGGGTTCAACGCCTCTGTTGACGCCTACTTATTGAATTTGTTATTTCCGTGTCGTCGGCGGCAACCTCTTGATACTGTAACTGTAGTCGAGAAACTCCTCTTACTTCGAGTACTTTCTCGAGAGAACGGAGTGCGGAGTTGTTCCTAGGACGGCACTCATGATTCTGTCAGCGTTGGAAGCGGCCACGCAATCACTCTCTCCTCACAATAAAGATATCCACTGAACCGCTTTGCTTCGCTATCCAAAAAGGGTCACCAAAACCCAAGTCTTCCGCACCGACCCTGGTCACTCCGTGGCGGGAACTTTCCGAGAATCTTCCAGCTTTTCTCAGTTCCCAATTGCTGATATTTTTTCCATAGTTTTTCTCATCGTCACATGCTCTCATTTCAGGAGTTGTCGTTCAACCTCGGCGGTTTCGCGCTTTCCTTGCTAGGAATGAGTGTGTTGTTGCTCAGCTACAATAAAGATTCGTCAATCCGAAATTATATAGCGGTGAGTTCTGAGGTCTTGACTGAGTAGCATCTCTCCCAATTTCTTCTTATTTTTTCATTTTTCCATTTGACTGCTCTTGCAGCATTGTCATGAATGATGTCAGATAACGTGAGCTGTACAATAGAATAATTGCAGTTACTTTCAGTGATGAATTTTTCGGGGAAGGGGGGGGAGGGACGAAGAGTGCGGTTGTGAGGCACCATGGTGAGAATGCGCAATGCCCAACAAAATCCGCGCCAAAGGACTGCGAGCCGGATACTGAATTAACGCAGTAGGTAGTAGGTCCTCTGATCTCGCCTAAGTCGCACTCGTATTTAGAGGGGTGAACGTGTGGAAGGAGTAAGCAAACCAGTCCTTTTGCGTTTTAAGCGGCGCCGTATGCTGAATGTTGGGGGAGGGAGCGGGTCTCCGAAGTCGACGGACTACTTGAACTCGGTCGGTAGGTAGGAGAGCAGTGAAGCAAGTGGTGCAGCTGATCCAGCAGCTCCGCCAAAATGGCTGGTTTGCTTACCCCAGGACTAAGCCTCGAGTAGAGACGGACTAACCGCTCTCTCGCAGGTCCGTCCTCTCTTTAAGGCTTAGTCCTGAGGTAAGCATCAAATTGAGGCGGTTTTAAGGACCAGAGTTGAAGTAGTCCGTCGACCGTCGGGGACCCATCCCCTCCCCAACATTCAGCATACGGCCCCAGCAGAAACGCCAAAAAGGGCTGGTTCGCTTACTTTGGGGGGGGGGGTTCATAAAGGCTTATTGGTTAATATTTTAACCAAAACAAGAAGAAGATTCGGTGTTTATGATTCCTGATTTGTTTCTTGGCTTGGAGTGGAGATGGTGTAGTGGCAAGTGGCGCCTCTGACGAAGCACAGAGTCAGGAGGTGAAACCCTCGAACTGAATCCCTAACCTCAAGGCTAACCGAGACTTCCATAGCTCCAATATGTTTGTCTATTTGTGTCAGGATCGGTTGATCGGACTCGTATGAAAGGGCAAGAGCACTGCCTTCGTACATCGCCCATTACAGTTATCCATTGGGCCAAATCCCATTCAAATCCCACACCGAATGGAGGTACAATGCGTGGCGATCCCCAGGGAACTTGATCAACTCCGATAGCTTTACTTCTATCTTTACAATTCGAGGTCGGAAATCTCAAATTTTAGCAATACATAGTAGGCTAAGTGGTGTCCTGTGGTGTGGTCGGTAGCACATCTGCCGGGAAAGCGAACGGAATTTCTCCTCACTTCAGCCGAGCATTTTGCTGATGATCCCGGCATGCTTTTGATAAGTAGCTGCTCTATTTCACAAAGCAAACTGTTCCAAAAATTTATGGAGGGAAAAATAACGAACAAACTCGTAGGAAAAACTGTCCTTCGAAGAACAGGTTAGGAAAGGAGATAGGAGAAAATAGGAAAAAAATGAGCATGAAGGATGCTGAAGCCGCGCTAGTATTGATTTTCAATACTTGATAAATTATGTTAATTTTAATATATCATAAAAACCTGAGTCAGGGCGTAATTTGTTGCTGTTCCCAGTAACCGCGAGGTGCGGGTTGGAGTCCTGCCTCAGGCAAAATGTTCCCACTTCTTGGAAAATTCTCTTTTCTGTTTTTTATTTATTATCTATTTATATACCTTTTATGATTATATTATGATATATTTATTTATGCAATATTTATTTTTTAATATTATATTATAATATATTTATTTATCGTTTATAATTCATAATTATTAATTCAATTTTCAGCTTAATCATGTGCTGATTCTTATCGCATGGTCGTTCTGCCTTGTTTGGAGCCGCTTTTTCACGTCGAATACCGTCTCCAATCTGTTCATCAACGAATGGGGTCGTGGAACCGAAGACATCGAAATCGAAGCCCTTGAGGGCCACTTCTAAGGCGGAACGCCCACGGATCACTTGCTGAAGCCTTACCCCTCCAAAGTACTTGCCTAGCCGCTCTTGCTAATACCATATTAGACCGACTGAAAGTGTACGCAACAGATTCGGGACCTCATCCATAAACTTCATTGTCGATTGTCTTCATCGGGTTCCTTTGCCGTGACATAATACTGCTCTGGGTTTCACTTGTCACTACTCTACGGTTCATGGTTCACACTTTCTTTGATGATTCATAATTTATACGTTGTTTACCTTAACCTTAACCTTGCATGTTCACTATAAATATTTAACACTGAATATTATTTGAAGTGCTTACAAGAACTCGATTCTTAGCAGAAGATTTGCAAATTTTACGCCTAAACAAAGGTAAGGATTAACTCGAACTAAGCCATGAAGCTTGACATTGTCCAATTTTCCTATTTCCGCTAATTACTTGTGACTAGGCGGCACAGGCGCGGCGTTAATGTGAAGTGAAAGAGTGCATCTAGTGCATGATGCTGTCAAATCTTCGGACTTCTTAGACCAATAATTCCTTTCATAGCTCACCTTCCAGGGTTGAAAAGCACCAGATTCGCCTGGAACCATGAAAACGCACAAAAAAACACATCTATCTATCCGCTGCCCTTGGAATATCAGTGCATTAACAAGCTTCTACGATTTTTATTGGAATCGAAAAGTTACGACCTCAGCCCTAAATTTCGAAATTGGATCAAAACCGAACGCTTTTTCCTATCGACCAACGTTGTTAGCTAGGTTGCCTAGAGATTGGCTGTCGCTTCGCAACCGTGAACAAGGCAGGCATTACTGCCTTTGCCTCCATTAGAATGAGCTGTCGTTTACCTGTTCCTTATTGCTTTTTACATAAATTATTCTGATAAGATACTTGAACAATCCTTGAGCCTCATAAGTCGTTCATCTTTGCCTTGGAAATCTTTTAGTGTGGTTCTTCTCATATGAGGTTTAGTGGTTAGCTTTCGCTGTTATCACAGCTTCCAGACTACAGGAAACATAAGCACATTACATAATTATTCTGGCAATTCCGACAATTTGTATGTGTAGGGGTCACCGATTCGAGTTCAATCCTGTATAGTTAGTTATCCCTTCAGAAAGGAGTATCTTGAAAACTTCGAATGAACTTCTGAAAACCATGAAAATTTGGAAAAACGCAGTGTAGCCGAAGAGTATTGGTTTCTGGTGTTGCTAGAGTGGTCCCGTGAACGAGTAAGGGAGCAATTTTCCAAACGCCAGCTACTTTTTGTGCAAGATTCAAGATGCGCCTTGCATTCGTATTGTATTTTCGTTCAAAAAGTTCAGATGGAATGATTTTGCAAGAAGTCCAGTCTTGTCTCTACGCTTGCATCTCTAGGACAGATTAGCGAGATACAAACTTTATTATCCTCAAAGATAACTTCGCTAAACTAATTGACATATTGAGGGTTCGCGGCCTGACAATAGTTCATATATCCTAGGATCTGGCCCCCTCCCCATTTACACGGTAGGAATATCGTTGTCTTCCCATCGCACTTCCAAAAATTTGATAAACTATTGAAAAGCGGACAAAGTAAGAACAATCAGTGCTTTGTAATTCAGTAGACCATAAACAAAAACAAATAAACATGTTTATTTGAAAACCGTAGTGCTACAGTAGTGTTTCAGCGCAGGATATCCAGCACACGGTACAAGGAACATCAATTTATTGAGATTATGAGCACGTCCAGGTGAATAAGCCCTCCAGAATACATAGTTAGCCTTCTTCGCACCTATCGCTATTTCGTTCAAATTGAAAAGCGCTTCCTGCATCCTGGTGGGAGCCTTACACCCGTCGGCTATCATTCTAAGCCAATGACACCAATCCATCTCGGTTTAGTTCACCTCGGGTTGCGTGTTGAAGCACCCACAGGCAAGCTACAGGAGACAAGTCGCCTCTATAGCGTTCGTGTTCCCAGGGGGAGGGGGAATATTCAAAGCAGGACGGGTGGTAGGTTAATAGGGTCGACGGACTACTTGAACTCAGCCCTTTAAACCGCCTCTGCGCTCTCTCGCGGGTCCCTCTCCTCTCCAAGGCTTAGTCCTAGGGCCATTGAGGAAAAATTAAGTAGTCCGTAAACCGTGAAACTAGAACTAAGCGCGGGAGAGGGCAAAACGCCAGGAAGATTACAAATTGCTCACATCCTCCCCAAAGTCCCAACCACTCCCTAAAGCTTAGTCCCAATCACATTATTTGGCTTACTCATTTAGGCGACCCCCCCCCCACGGCCATTTCTATACAGCGACGTAGGCTGCTTAAAGGTGCGATAACGAACTAATTTAAGTGGTCCCTGACAAATAGTGACTGTCATACACAGAATCCCGACTAGATGACGCTGGATGTTGCCCTCGCCTTGCGCTCGCTACGTGCCCAGCTACTCTTCTCTGAACAAGGCTGCATGTATGACTGATTTGGGGAGAAATCGATTTCATAGTACATCTGAAATCCGGCCATTTTTTGTCCTTTATTGACCAGATTAACGATGGATTTGGGCTACAGAGCGAACAGAACGTAAACAGAAGGATATTCGCCCCAATCTGTTCAACATGAACCACCACCACAGCATGACTACATCTGTCACTTTCCAGCGTATTATTATTTAAGTAAATTGATTATTTCATATCAAGCTCGAATACTTCTAATTTACTCTTAAAATGCAATTCTTAGTAGACACATACTTGAGTTTGATTCTGAGAGTATTCTGCAAAAGTTGCAGACTTTCTACAAACATTCAACGGAATCATCAAACACCAATGCTTCCGTATTGTCTAATGAATCACTTCTATACATAGTCATGTTTGTCTGGCTCTGAATTTACGGAAGGAAGCCTTCCTGTGATGAAAAAAAACAAACGAAAGGCTTAGTTGACTGGCTCTCATTACGCCGTAATTTCAATATTTATTCAGACTCGTAGGGTATTCGAATATATATCCAACCCATAGGATGACTCGCGAAGCTGACCGCTATTAGGCCAGCTTATTTTCTTAATGCTGGTTGCATCCGGGCTGCAAGCTTGCCTTGACCAGGCTGTTCTGGAAAATCCAATTACCCAGGACCAGCCGTCGACTAGGGCGCCAATTGAGGGATAGAGCGCTTTCTAAGCAGGAACTTGGGGAGCGGTAACTCAGGAAAAATAAAATTGCTTACACGCCCTGAAGTCTCTACTCCCTGCCTAATGCTTAGTCCGATTTTTTACAGAAGGATATTTTTACGAAGTCCTAAATGTATTGTCCCGACAATGCCACTGTACGGGACCCGACGCATCCCGTACCGAAGCATTTGTGGGAACCAAAAGCATCAAACTTCGTAAACAAGTCGTAAAAGAGCCCGTTGGTATTTGCCAATCAAAACGAACACTGATCAGAACTTTGCCCAGTTTCCAAAATTAAAGTTTTCACACACCCACCCCCCCCCCTGCACTCGACCAGGCGACAGAGCTTTGGATCGGAGGCTCGAAAAGTTGTGTCAAGAAGCAGATGACATTATTGATATCATCAGTTGCTGGGAACCCCTCAAAAATAGGTCCTTAAACGTGAATTTTTCTCAAGGTTGTCGACCCTAATCCGACCCCGAAGTTTGTCGCGGCACCTTTTGGCCACAGAGGTATCCTTTCCTCTGACTCTCGAGGGGATTCGCAAGTTTCGAACCCGGGTAGATCGTATTTATAGCAACTTTCCGAGGAGTGGTAAGGGCCCACAGTATATTGGCGTGATGACCCTGTTTTGCTCTAGAATTTCAGTGGAATTTACCTCGACCCTTTCCAGCTCTGACAGAGGCACCCCGCACCGACAGCGTAGCCAATAAAGTCTAACAAACAAACCTCGGTAAACTCTAACAGAAATATCAGCACCAATATAACATGCCAAAGCGGCTCCTGGCAATTTCAAGGAGCATTCAATTAATCAACCCCCCCCCCCGAAGAATTTTCACTTGTGTGGATGATCCATTGATTCATCCAATCCAGGCCACAAAACGAAGGGATTTTCCCGAGCTGGCAATCTCACTCATCACCTCTGGCCGATCGTTGCTTGCATATCCATCGACCGTGCTGGCTTTGGTTTAACAACCTCGCTCACAGCGGGGTTTGTTTGTTTATTGACCGTCGTCCTAATAGGGACGGTTATGGTCATACTTCTGTGCCACGTACTGTGTATTTGATTAGGGCCGTTCTCCTCTGTTTCGGTTAGCCCCTTGTTTGCCGACAGCCGCCACTGGCGGCTCCGAACCTCTCAGTCAATCGCATATCCTTTCCAATCCGAGCCGTTCCAATCCGTTGACCTCTTCTTGTGTCACGATTCTTCAATTCGTTGCATAATTTCTTTCGTAAGTCTAGGGATCCGCCATAAAGACTTAAATTCCCGGTCCTGCAGCACTTTTCAGTAGGCGCGTTCACCCTGATTTCCACATTGAAAGGATTTGTTAGTTACTACCAACACACACATTGTCAGCCTATTGACTGAGGGATTCATCCATTCGCTGGCTTATTGCCTTATTAATTACGTATCTGAAACTCAGGTCATATTCGCTCGGGCTAGCCAAACGGGGAGGAGGTCGTATGTGGGATTTCAGGGAAGATTCCAGATGGGAGTGTGGGAAATAGGTGTCAAAATGAGGTAGAGGGCTTACAACTAGGGTTCTGCTCTTTCAGAAGTGACATACACCCTCCTCTCCTCCGTTCTACACAATTTCAAAGAAATTATGGAGCCGGTTGGAGTGTGACTGATTTTACCGACACTTGAAAGCATGGACCAGGGGCAGGCATAGATTTTCATGGAAAGAGATCGTGTACGGTAGTAATCTGATGTCAGCTGCTATTCACAATGTGACCATGAGCTCATGGTAACCTGCTGGTTTGAGTTACATTACCGCGGTCATTTTATTGATCCGATGAGGTCTTTCGAACTTTTTTTCAAAGCAGGGAGGAAACTTGAGTTGTGAACTCTGTCAACGGTCGAAGATACAGGACGGC